GAGGTCCAAGGAGGGCTCCATGCGTGGACTAGCGGCTGGCGCCCCCCCTTCGAGGCAGAGGGCTCTTGGATTCCCCCCCCCTCCTTTCCAAATTTACGCCCCTTCCCTAGATCGCGGCTGATTCAGTCTCCGCCGCCAGAGCTTTGGGCGCGCTGCCTCCAGCGGGGCAGCATCAAGTGGCGGGGAGAGTTTGAGAGGGCGCCGGAGCAGCCCGGGCAAGGCTGCCTTTGCAGCTGGAGAGAGGCGTGGGTGGGTCACAGGAGTTAATTCGGTGTGTAAGATGGGGAGGGGAAAAATAATGTGAAATGGCTTTCTTGGTCCTTATCCAGGTTTCTCCATCCCGCTCCCAAATCAGTCCCTTTGTCCTGGCCGAGATTTCTAAATTCTTGCATAGACCCTTTTGAGGTCCAGACTAATCTCCTCATTGAAAGTGCTGATTGTTTTATTTTGGACTGCATAAATAGTGCTACTACTCTCACACATGCACGTGCACATACGTCATGCCTTGAGTGTGTTTGTGTATGGTGTAACTCAAGCTCCTTATCCTTAACCTTTGTTCCCTAGTCCTAATCTCCACCTGTAGAATTCCAACATTTCTTTAGCTAGCGGTGTAACCTTCCTTTCCACCATCCCCGTTGTAGCACCTAACCTCACCTTTATTTCTAAATCAACTGTATTTGACCATTCCAGCCCCAAACTTTACATTTTAGGATTCCTCCCATCTCCTCAAGACCAACTCTCAAAAAACGTTTACTCCTCTATTAACCAACCACTTTGGCCATTCTCTCTGCTATCCTAAACTTCACTTTCAGCAACTTCTGAATTTTCATTCAGGATGAAGACCTTAACTTTTGCCTTGGTTGTAGCTCACCTCCTTCTTCGGAACCTCCCTCCCAAAATTGTTCTCCCCCCCCCTTTTTTTTTGCATGTTTCCCACAAGTGGTTGTTCTGGCCAGTTCAACTGTAAATTTGGATTTTCCTTCCCCCATCTTGATGCTCAGCCTTAATTTCTGCTTTTAAAAAATTCACTTCGTTTTCTCTAAGGGGGCTTGCAGGATTCTTTGTGCGAGCTGAGCTGTTTCTCAGCTTGCCTTTTCTTTATTCAAGAAAATCTTCCCTGTGTCAAGTTGGAGGCTGCTAGTTCTCTGCTCCTTTGCCTTGCTTCTTTAGTACAAGTGCCTGGAAAATAGGAGTGTGTGGTATGAAGTGATGGTCATTGGGATAAAGGGAATCAACTGTAAATTGGAAAAGTGGCATACTCACACCTTCTGCTAACAATATATGGTTTGCAAAGAGATGTAAGTAGACACCCTAGCAGGTGTTCTTTCTGTAGCCTAAGTATTCAAGAAAGAAAGAAAAATCAATTTAGTTGCAAACAACTATTTGCAGCTGATGGTTGTAATAGACAGGTGGGAGGAATGTCAGGATGTCAGAGCCTTTCCCAGGAATCAGAAAAGAACAGAATATTGCTGAGCTATGAGTTATCTCTTGGTTTCATAAAATTTCTGACTGATTACCACTCCCTGGATCTGACAGGCTAGCTGATTTGCTCTTGCAAACAGTGTATTTTTGCTGCATTTTTGTGCATGTTGATCTTCCCTGACTTCAGTCTACCTAAAGGGGAAAGGAGGTGCTTGGTATTGATCAAAAACATAGAACAGCTTCTCATGCTCCACAGTTGGTTAACACCTTAAAGCAAACATTTCAAATAGAGTTAAGCAATGGGAGAGCCTGTTACTTGGGAAGGATTACAAGAGAAAGAAGGTGGAAAAAAATAGGTTAGTTTTCTTTCTCATACATAAGGCGTGGGCCCCTAATCTCTTGCTGCATTCTGTGTTTCCACTTTCCCCCTTCATTTTAGAAGACTGGATTATTTCTAAAGAGACCACCCAGCAATACCACCAGCAGCTTCCATAATGGCAGCAGGAGTAGCAGCATGGCTGCCTTTTGCCCGAGCAGCAGCAATAGGATGGATGCCAGTGGCCTCCAACCCTATGCCAAATGCACCTCAGCAGGAGAGGAAACGTAGTCAGGATTCTCTGATTGTGCTGAATGTGAGTGGCACCCAGTTCCAGACCTGGCTGAACACCCTCGAACGCTATCCTGATACCCTTCTGGGCAGCTCAGAGAGGGACTTCTTCTACCACCCAGAGTCACAGCAATACTTTTTTGACCGGGATCCTGACATCTTCCGACACATCCTCAATTTCTATAGAACAGGGAAGCTACACTATCCCCGTCAAGAGTGCATCTCAGCCTATGATGAGGAGCTGGCCTTCTTTGGTATTATCCCTGAAATTATTGGCGATTGCTGCTATGAGGAGTACAAGGATCGACGACGGGAAAACGCTGAACGCCTTCAGGATGATGCTGATCAGGATAATGCCAACGAGTGCCATCTTCCTTCCATGACAGCTCGAGAGAGGATGTGGCGGGCCTTTGAGAATCCACACACCAGCACACTGGCCCTGGTTTTTTACTATGTTACTGGCTTTTTCATTGCTGTTTCTGTCATGGCGAATGTGGTGGAGACTGTGCCCTGTGGGATGACTCCTGGTGCCATCAAGGAGTTGTCCTGTGGAGAGCACTATGCTGTGGCTTTCTTCTGCCTAGATACAGCTTGTGTCATGATCTTTACTGTTGAGTATCTTTTGCGCCTGGTGGCTGCTCCCAGCCGGTACAAGTTTGTCCGTAGCGTCATGAGCATCATTGATGTCGTGGCAATTATGCCATATTACATTGGTCTGGTGATGACCAACAATGAGGATGTCAGTGGGGCTTTTGTAACCCTGCGTGTCTTCCGGGTCTTCCGGATCTTTAAATTTTCACGCCACTCACAGGGTCTACGCATCCTCGGCTACACTCTGAAAAGCTGTGCATCAGAACTTGGCTTTCTCCTTTTTTCTCTCACTATGGCCATCATAATCTTTGCTACAGTCATGTTCTATGCTGAAAAAGGTTCGTCTTCCAGCAAGTTCACCAGCATTCCTGCTGCTTTCTGGTATACCATTGTTACTATGACCACCTTGGGGTAAGTGCACATGGTTTTATACCTATTTATGTAAAATATAGATAATTTGCATTGTTATCTGGATTATCTTTACCTGTTTTTTTAAAAAAAAGTTGTGAAAAATGATGATGCATAATTGTGCTCAATCGAGGAAATGCTTATGATCCTTTTATGATAAGCAGAAGATGCCACTTCACTTTCTCTCATGTAAATAAAAAACATTGAGAACTGCAATGATGACTTCCCTTAAATTCTGGGATTGCTATAAATTTTGTATTTTTTTCTTTCACCTATTCAGATATCACTGTTAAAGTTTCTATGCAAATTTATCCTATTTTTCCTTCGTGGTTAATGTAATGATGGTTGAGTTTTAGGCAAAAGATAACAATTCTGTTGTCCTATGAGCGTTGACTGGTATGATAAGGGACTGTGTAATAGTTTATGTATTCATAGCAAAAATATAATTAATCTTTCATCTTAGAAGAATTATAGTCAAATAATATAAAAACTAACACAACACTTCTCAGTATTGGGTTTTTAAATGTATATGTTAAAGTTGTCGATATAGCTGATTTTGAATTGTTGCAGTAAACGTTTAAAACTCACATTTAGTTTCTCATTCTGGAAGCTAACTTTTGGAAATGGTGATGAATTCACCAACAGGGTGTTATAGGTTATTTCATGATTTCTTGCAATGTAGCATTTTATAGAAATGTCTTTTCCGAAGAAGGAATATGATGTGAACTAAGTTTTCAAAAAGTTTTAATAGGATTTTTTTTCAGCCTATGCTTATCCTTAAAATCAGAGTTTAAATGACTGATATCCCAAAATGCATGTCACAGTATTAGCTGGATATAACATATAGAGGTAAGTTAATTTGAAGAAGTTTATTTGTAATTTTATTCCAAATTAGTTGTGCAATAATTTACAGGGAAAGGGTTAATTTCTTTTTTTTAAATGCCCATTATTTACCATGATGTTATGAGTCTTGCAAATTTATCTGTTATAAGTTCCACAATAACTTTCCCCATCTTATTACCCTTCAGACATTTTGAACTGCCCTAACACCTATCCCTCATCATAGGAAATGGAGGTTAATGAAGAAAAGGAAAATATTTAAGTTGAAAGTATCTTACAATGAACTCTTATATCTTATCTCAAAAACATTTATTTGCTCTTAACTAAAGAAACTGATTATACATGTAAAATTTGACAAACAAACAAATATTGAGTACCAAAAACAAACAAACAAAAAAATATTGAGCACTGAAAATATACATTCTTTCTGGATCAAGTTTAGCATTTCACTAAGGACAGTGAAATAGATTTATATGAATGACAAGTCTTTCTATCTTTCTGAATATTTCTATAAACATCTGTGACATTTCAGAAATAGGACAGAATGCAAGAATCAATCCCCATTGTGTTCCGTAAAAGTTTAAGTGTGTAATTTAAGCACTATCACTGAGATCATTGGTTGCAGAAAATACTTAACTCTGCCTTGGGGATGGATATAAAGAAGATTGCAATTGTGATTATGATGATATAATTATCTGTTTTGAAATGAACCAATCTTTAATAAAGCTACTATAGGCTATTCTACAAACTATAATTAACACTTAAATAAAGAAAAGGGCATTGCTATGTTTGTGTGTTGGGAAGAGGGAGAGAAAAAGTAAGTATTCAGGCTTTTTTCTATTCAACAGTTTATTTTCCTGAAAGTGTTCCTTTCAGTCACTTGTTTGCTGGTCAAGTAGACTTCTGGAGATTCACAAAGGAAAAAAAAATATGAAGACAGACCACAATTTTACCAGTTATTTAAAAAAAAAACAGTTAAAATCTTTATTAGACTGGGTCAGATAAAGGACATGAATAAAATATATCAGACTGAAATTTGAAATGACAAGAGACCAGATAGTATCTGTAATTTCTGGTTGCAAACCAGAGACATTTCGCTTGTGATTTAGTTAAATGTTAATGGTAGCAATAAAAGAAAAAAATAGTCAAAATTTAATAGTGTGGCTCTGATATTTATCATAGTGTGTAAAAAAGAAAGGCCTGACCATTAGTATTTTTAATCTTTCATTTATAGTTCTAATGTTTTATACTGCAGCAGGATGCATTTAAGTTAAATGCCAGATACACTAGCTATTGGTCTTGTCCATGGTACTGAAATGAATATTTGGCTTTTATTTCATTGCCTTGAATTGTTTTATTTTCTGCAGGCTGAAAATAGTTTTTTGTATTGTTAGAGGACTAAGACATTAAACTTTTTGTGAAGTAGGTATTTGACAGGTTGGTATAGTAAACAAGAATGTAAACTTTGCTTTTAGTTCTTAGGAAGGCAAGCTATGTGGTATTGTTTGGTAAAATATCCTTATTTACATTCTGCAGGATATCTTGAAACTTAGTTATTACTCTTATAAATTAAAATTTTGTATTTTTAAAAAATAAATTGGATAATTGCTGAACACACACATACACACATATGCAATATTGAATAATGGTGTGAAATTAAAAAGTTTTCATAAAATGCAAACATTAGAGAAACTGTTCTTTAGAGAAACTACTTATGAGGGAAATAGTTATTTAAGTTATGTCTGAAAAGAAAAATAATAGGCATCCTTTTAGACTTGCATAGAAATAAAACTGAAACAATTTTATGTATCAACAATCTCAACCTTGGCATGCCTTTTTCCACTGTTCACTATTTTTATAAATGCACATGTGGAATGCTAATTTGTGCAATAAAGGCAACAGTGATATTTTGGTAAAACAAGGTAAAAAAAGAACAAACCAAGAATGCATATTTTAATTGTTATATTATTTTATACTTTATTTATTTCTATTCATTTTTCCATTAAAAGTAGATAGACAGCTAAAGTTGTACAGTGTTTCATGTTTCCTATGTTGCAAACAATCCATTATGAAACATACTGCCGGTAGTGTACAAGGTTAGTCATAAGAATCACTGTCATATCCACTATACAGGTAGTCCCATGGTCACCTGATCAAAATTTGAATGCTTGGCAACTATTTATGACAGTTGCAATGTCCTGGGATTATATGATTATTTTTTGTGATCTCCTGACAAGCAAAGTCAATGAAGGAAGCCAGGTTCACTTATCAACCATGTCACTAATTTAACAACTGCAGTGATTCACTTAACAATTGTGGCAAGAAAGTTCATAAAGTAAGGCAAAACTCACTTAACACTTAGCATCTGAAATTTTGGGCTCATAAGTCAAGGACTACCTGTACTGTAGCTGCAGAACTTTTGTATGGTAAAGAATCTATTAAGATATTAATTTATGAAAGCAAGAAATAGAAAGGATTAGCAAATTGATCTCATTCACACTTTTCTGGTTGTAATTAATAAAAACTGTAAAAAATGCACCTTAGTATTTTTTAAATATCAAACCAAACTGTTAATGAAACATTTGTTACAAACCTTCCTGTAAATTAAAGGCATATATTGTGTCATAACCAAATATATATGGTTTACGTTGTAACTCCATTTGTAGTTTTCCTTTAGTGATTTACTCTGGTTCTTTTCCTCTGTCTCCTCTAGTATTTGAACATGATGGAATTTAAGGTTTTGTGCAGAGATATATTCTATCACGGACTAAGTGGTGATGCTAAGCATTGAACCAGGCCATTTCATCTTTTACTACAAATGATTTGTTTCTTTAAAATGTACAGTTCTGTTTTTAGTTCTCGGTAGTTTCAAAATATTGATGCATAATAATAAGCTACCTAAAGAACTCTAAAATCCCGAGTAGAAGTATTTAAGCACATATTACATTATATCCCCAAAATAGAATTAGCTTGGAAATTATTTTGTACCTGGTGGAATCTGCGGACAAGTGGGTAGGTGGGGAAACAATTTGGGGCCAAATTTCTAAGGCTTTATTCATCATAGTAAACACTCTGAATAGGGTCCAAAAATAACTGGTAACCACTACAGCTACTTTAGGGAAGAGGTGACACCTCTGGAAGCACCAATTATCATTTGCACCTTGCTTTCTTCATGACTCTCTCTGCAAAAAAATTGCACTGAAACAATTTAGCTTTGAAGTCCATCACGTATGCATCACAAAGTCTTTCTCTTTCAGGATTTAGTAGCTGAAGTTAATAAGAGGCCCTTTTTGTCATTGCTGTAATGTGATTTTTCACTGTCAGTACCAGATTGAAGAAAAGCTTCCACCTTTGAACCTGAATCTGTAAAAACTGCTATCCAATCAAGATAAGGCAGATATCCTAAAGTTTGAAATCTTTGTCCTAGAAACACATTGATGAGGAGCAGCCTCTATTCCCTCTTAACTACATCAATAATGTTAATGAATAGACAATGTTCTGTTCACATATTAATGCTTATACGTGATAATCTACAGCAATAGCCTAGTTTCATAAGTAGTCACTCTATGTGAGGTAAAATCCAGGTACTGCAGAGTTCCAGTCCACTTGAATGTATATGCAAAGCTCTACTACAGTCATCTTGTAAATGCAAAGCATCTAAACTGATGCTACAAGTATTAACTCTGATCTCTTGTATTTTTATATGCTTTTTTATTTCTGTCTCAATAAAGAACAAGTATGTTTTATGGACATTGTTGTATTCATATTGCAACAGAACTTCAATGGCCTGTTCCTGAATAAGGAAAAATGAAATACATTCCCACTGAAATTTCTTAAATACATCCATACAAATGTCTACCAATTTTGTAGAATCTGTAGCTGAAAATAAACAGGGAATTAAAACATACTAATCTCCTTTAGCTTACAGCCATTATTTTTATTGTTTGTAGCTCCTAGAGCAGCATAGCTGAATTTGCTCTTTTACAGGGTACAAGAGTACAATACAAGAAATTATAACTTGAATATCAGTGGTGAACAAATAGAAGAAAGAAGCAAAAGATTGAAGGAAAAGAAGAAAGATGTAAGGTAGATGAGAGATCAGCAGGAGCAAATGTAGCTGTGCGGATTCATACTCAGCTGGGACAAGAAGTAAGAATCTTTTG